ACAGGACAGGGGGGGAGTAGGCCAATGATGATGATGATGATGATGAGATGATGAGGAGGAGGAGGAGGAGGGAGGAGGAGGAGGAGGAGGAGGAGGAGGACGACGTGGAGGACGAGACGAGGAGGAGGAGGAGGAGGAGGAGGAGGAGGAGGAGGAGGAGGAAGAGGAGGAGGAGGAGGAGGAGGGGGAGAAAAAGAGTGAGGAGGCGGGGAGGGACGTGGGCAAGGGGAGGCGGATGAGGACTACGTGGAGGAGCAGGCGATCGCAACCGGCGAAGCATCCAGGCAGAAAGCGAGGAGGAGGAGGAGGAGGAGGAGCAGGAGGAGGAAGAGCAGGAGGAGGAGGATGATGAAGAGGAGGAAGCGCAGGAGGAGGCCCGGTTCGCTTGAGACATCCTCAAAACTCTGGATTCCGACACGCCCTGACCTGAGTTGGTCAGACCACTTTCGCGTGAGACATCCTCGAAACTGTGACCTCGAAGGTGCCCTGCCCCACGGTGGTCCGGGCACTTTCGCTTGAGACATCCTCGCAATTCTGGGTTCCGAGATGCCCGGACCTGAGTTGGTCAGACCACTTTCGCCTGAGACGTCATCGAAACTCTGACCTAGGAGGTGCCCTGCCCCATGGTGGTCTGGGCACTTTCGCTTGAGACATCCTCGCACTTCTACGTTCCGAGACGCCCTGAGGTGAGGTGCTTTGGCCATTGCCGCCACAGACATCCTCGCAACGTTGACCTCGGATATGCCCTGCCCCATAATTAGTGGTCTGGCCACTTCTGCCTGAGACATCCTCGACACTATGATCTTGTATATGCCCTGAATTCAGGTGTTCAGGCCACTTACGCGTGAGACGTTCTCCGAATTCCGACCTCGGAGGAGCCCTGCCCCATGGTGGTCCGGGCATTTTCGCTTGAGACATCCTCGCATCTCTGGGTTGCGGGATGCACGTAGGGTTCTGTAGGGAGGGATTCGTGTAAGTTTCTTTAGGGATTCATGTCGAAGTCTTTAGGGATCCACGTAAGGTTCTTTAGTGATTCATTCGGGCTCTTTTGGGATTCATGTGGGGTTCTTCATGGATTCATGCAGGGTTCCAGACGTCCAGGCACCCGGGCACCCGGGCACCCGAACGGGGCTCAGGCAGCTCGGCATCCGGGCATCGCCCGGGCAGCCGGGCACCTGGGCATCCGGGCATGCGGGCACCATTTGGCATAAGGTACGGGCATCCGGGCATCCGGGCACCCGGGAATCCGGGCACCCGGGCACCTGGGCATCCGGGCATCCAGGAGCCCGGGCAAGGCCCTGCGGGCACGAGCCCGGGTATCCGGGCACCCGGGCATCTGGGCACTCCGGCACACGGGCACCCGAGCGGGGCCATGCAGGCTTCAGGCAGTTGGGCATATCGCCCGGGCAGCCGGGCACCCGGGCATCCGGGCATGCGGGCACCATTAATTGGCATAAGGCACGGGCCCGGGCATCCGGGCACCCGGGCATCTGGGCTCCCGGGCGCCCGGGCACCCGGGCATCCGGGCACACGGGCACCCGGGCACGGCCCGGGTGCCCATGCAGGCACGGGCCCGGGCACCCGGGCACGCGGGCATCCGGGCACCCGGGCACCCGGGTGCCCGGCAGCGGGGCCGGACCGCAGAAATAGGCATTTGATCGGGCAGCCGGTCACCCGGGCATCCGGGCATCCGGGCACCCGGGCGCAAGACCATATGGGCATCCGGGCACCCGGGCATCCGGGCGGGCATCCGAGCCCGGGCCAGGCCTCACGCACGGGCGAAGCCCGGGCAGCTGGGCACCCGGGCATCCGGGCATCCGGGCACCCGTGCACCCGGGCACCCGGGCACCCGCGGGCACCCGCGGGCATCCAGGCACCCGGGCATTCGGGCACACGGGCACCCGGGCACTGCCCGGGCACCCAGGCACGGGCCCGGGCACCTGGGCACCTGGGCACCCGGGCATCCGGGCACACGGGCACCCGAGCGGGCGCGGGCCTCCGGCACATGCATCGCCCGGGCAGCCGGGCACCCGGGCATCGGGGCATCCAGGCGCCCGGGCAAGGCCCCGCGGGCACGGGCCCGGGCATCCGGGCACCCAGGCATTTGTCACTTCGGATCGTCCATTGGGAGGGGCAACTGGGCACGGCCAGGCACCCGGGCACGGGCCCGGGCACCGTAAAATGTCATATAACCCCGATGACGATGTATGCGCTGAGGATGCTGATGCTGTGATGTGATGATGATGATGATGCTGATGATGATGATGATGATGATGATGATGATGATGATGATGATGATGATGATGATGATGATGATGATGATGATGATGATGATGATGATGATGATGATGATGATGATGATGATGATGATGATGATGATGATGATGATGATGATGATGATGATGATGATGATGATGATGATGATGATGATGATGATGATGATGGATGATGGGCTCAGGGAGGGCGCGCTGTCTGGCCCCTGTCGTGATCAGTGGGCGAACCTCTGCGCTCAGTCTGTGCCTCAGACGCGGCGCTTGGCTCTGCTCCTCTGCTCCCCTGGGCCTATCCCCCCCTGGGCCTATCCCCCCCTGGGCCTATCCCCCCCTGGGCCTATCCCCCCCCTGGGCCTATCCCCCCCGCACGCTGCCCCTGATCTATTCGACGCCAGGTGGTTCTCGGGCCGCAACTCGGGCCCCCAGCGGCCCTTCGGGGCGACTCCGGCCCCCCCACAGCGCGCTTTCGGCGAGCCGAGTCGGATGGAAGCCTTCCCGCTTCTCGACAACGTCCGGGAATTATCGCCCCCCTTTCATTCCCAGACCCCCTCGAGTAATGAAAAAATCACGGCGGAAGGTTTTTCTGAATTTTCGGCCTCCGGGGGCCCTCTTCGGGCCTCGGGAGCGTCAAGAAACGACTCAGGATGCAAAGCCGCTCATGGGGAAAGGGTCGGGACCTTTGGGGGTCGACGTAACGAAAAAATCATTACGTCGGGGGTCCGGGTTCTAGGCATCCCAGAAGGGGTCCAAGTAGATGGGATCGGAGGTCCGCGCCGCATCGGTGATGCATGTGCGATGCGGCTCGGTGGACCCCGATGTTCTCCACGCCGACGGCGCCGATGCGTCGCCGACGCCGCCGGTGCATCGCTGGTGCATCGGCGTTATATCGGCGATGCACCCCCGACGTCACGATGTTTCCCAACCACCTTGTGGTGCTGGCTCCTCGTTTTGAGGAGACAGCGCCCCGCGTTCCTCCTTCCTTCCTCCCCCTCCTCCCTCATCTCCCATCCGTGCCTCTCCTGCCTCGGCTCTCCGCATGGCCATTTCGGCACACCCCTCACGCGGTTCGTGGCCCCATGGGGAGCCCCACCGAAGGCCCCAGTGGCAGTGTCCGCACGGCGCCGCCGCCCCATTTCGGCACACCCCTCACACGGTTCGTGGCCCCATAGGGAGCTCCACCGAAGGCCCCAGTGCCACCGTCCACATGCGTCCCCCCCACCCACTCCGACACAACCCTCACACGTTCCGTGGCCCCATAGGAAGCTCCGCCGAAGGTGATGTTCACAACTGCGGTTCTCACATCTGCTTGTGATTGGGTCCTTCGCCAGGCTACTTCACAACGTCGACCCCCAGAGTTCTGGACCGCTCCCCCGGGACCGGCTTTTGAACCCGAGCCATTGTTGGACGGCCCCGAGAACCCGGCGAGGGCCCCCGGAGGCCGAAAATAGCGAGAAGCCTTCCGTCGTGAGTTTCTCATGGCTCGAGTAGGGGATCGACTACAGAATCGATTCACTCCAGAATGGATTCTTCCGTCGAGTCTACGAACAACACGTGGAATGTTTCCGAGATGTACTGAACTTTCCTATACGTCTTTCTGTTGACCGCGAGGCACCCATTTCATTCTGGGGTAAACCAATCCTGTCGTCGATCTCCTATAGCTGAATAGCTCGAGGGGGTCCGGGATCCCTCGCCCGCCGGGGGCAGTCGGCTCGGCCCCTCGCTGCCCCAGCCCCCCCTATACCAGGGCTCCTTTCGACACTCCTCCGGTTCGGTGCGACTCGGTGCCGGTGGCTTCCCGTTCCGAGTCGATTGGGCTTCGGACTCCGATCGGTCGGTTCCGTTTCCTCCATCCCAGACCCCCTCGAGTAATGAAAAAATCATGACGGGAGGTTTTTCTGCATTTTCGGCCCCCGGGGGCCCTCACCGGGCCTCGGGAGCGTCAAAAAACGACCCAGGATGCAAAGCCGGTCATGGGGAAAGGGTCGGGACCTCTGGGGGTCGACGTAATGAAAAAATCATTACGTCGGGGGTCTGGGATGGCGGCCTACCAACCTGCCGATGCCTGCCGATCCAGCTTCTCCCGGTTCGGCTGCCGCTTCACCGCCGATCCGATGCGGTTCGGTCGCCGACCCCAGACCTCTTCGCGCTGTGACAAAATCCCCACGGGAGGCTTTTCGCTGTTCTCGGCCTCCGGGGGCCCTCACCGGGCCCCGGGGCCGTCAGACTCGGGGTGAGAGACCGGTCCCGGGGAATTCCCCGGGACCGGTTGTCGACGTCGACGTCGAGAGTTCTCGACGTCGAGAACTCTGGGGGACGAAGTTGTGACAAAATCATGACGTCGGGGGTCTGGAATTCGACTTCCCGATCCGATTCTGGGCCCTCCTGCCTACCAGCACGCCGATTCCTGCCGGTTCGACTTCTCCCGACTCGGCTGCTGATTTCCCAGACCCCCGACGTAGTGATTTTTACATTGCGTCGACCCCCAGAGGTCCCGACCCTTTCCCCATGACCGGCTATGCATCCCGAGTCGGTTTTTGACGCTCCCGAGGCCCGGTGAGGGCCCCCGGAGGCCGAAAATTCAGAAAGACCTTCCGACGTGATTTCTTCATTACTCGAGGGGGGCTGGGTTCCGCCGACCCGATTCATTTCGATCACCGATTGGGCTTCTCGACTCGATCCCGGGCTCTCCTGCTCTGCTGCGCCCTGGCGGTGCGGCGCGGCGCGGCGAGGAGGCGATGGCCCTCGCGGAGCGGCTGGCCGCCGAGAAGGCGCACCGCCGAGAGAAGCGCGCCGCCGAGGGGGCCCCCGCGAGGACGGGGGAACATGCAGCTCCCGAGGAGCCGGGCCGGGTGTCACATCGGGCGTGTCCCTCTACAGGAGGCACGTTCCAAAAGGGTATAACCAATAGATAGAGTCAGGGGGCGAGTTTCCTAGTATTCTGGACGGTTCTTGAAGATGCGTTTGACTATATAGTGCCTCCCCAAAATCCGCCTGTAGGAGGACATGCCCGAACTGGGCCTTGTGCCCAGACCCCGTCGGGTTGGGAAGACATCCGGGCGGGAGGCTTTCCGCTGACTTCTCGGCCTCCGGCCCCCCCTGGGGGGCCCTCCGCCGGGCCTCGCGGGGCCGTCAAGAAAACGACTCGCGGGTGAGCAGCCGGTCCTGGGGGAGGGGTCGAGACCTCTTCGACTACATGTAAGAGTGACCCTTCGCCGGAGTGACCTTTGGTGCGCGACCGTTGGGGCCCCCCGATCGTCGCGTGCGGCGCGGCAGTAGCGTCTTGCTCGCTTGTGTTTGGTCCCCCCTGCGGCCCTCAAAAAGCCGCGCACCAAAGGTCACTCTTACCCAGGGTCACTCTTGCGTGTAGCCGACCTCCTGGGGGTCGACGTTGAGGCAAAGGCCACGACCCTCGGGGGGCTGCGCCTGGATCGCTCTCGGCGGGCCGCAGCGACCGGAGACCGCTCCGCTTCTCCAAAATTTACCGACGGCGTTCGCTCCCCCCCGAGATCCTGCCGTTGCAATTTTTCCCCAATCAGTGCTTGCACCGAAGGGGTCCTGTCGGAAGTTGAAAGATTTGGCGAAAGCTTCCCGCCGATTTTGGCAGCAGGGTTCCCAGACCCCCGACGTTATGATTTTTTCATGACGTCGACCCCCAGAGGTCCCGACCCTTTCCCCATGACCGGCTTTGCATCATGAGTCGTTTCTTGACGCTCCCGAGGCCCGGTGAGGGCCCCCAGAGGCCGAAAATGAAGGAAAACCTTCTGTCCTGATTTTTTCATTACTCGAGGGGGTCTGGGTTCCCGGGTTCCCAGCTCCCGGGTTCCCGGGTTCCTGGTTATATTGGTTCTGGGCCGGCTTCGGTGGGTTCTGGGTTTCCGGGCTCCCGGGTTCCCGGTCGTTCTCCTCAGCGAAATCCATCCACTGATTGGGGTTTGTCTCTATTTCGGGCCCATGCACCAAAAGGACGAAGGAGGAGGGATGAGGATGAGGAGGAGGGGGAGGGAGGAGTCGGGGGAGGAGGGGGGAGGGAGAGGCAGAAGAAGAAAAGGGAAGGCCGAGGCGGAGGAGGAGGGAAGATGGAGGAGGAGGAGGAGGAGGAGGAGGAGGAGGAGGAATCGCACCAAAATCGCACCCTCTGTTCTATTTCAGCGAAATCCATCCATCGCACCAGGCGTTGTGGCTCTATTTCGGGCCCATGCACCTTCGCAGATCGGTCCGGCTCGAAGAATGGCGCAGGAAGATGGGGTCCAGGGCTCTGGTCGCGATTTTTGCGATGTTGCATGTTTTTGCAACGTCGGATCTCAGGGTATCGGGCAGGTGTATGTCCACGCTGGAGCCGGCTAGGGGTCAGAGTGACATTTCGCTGGAGTGACCTTTGATGCGGGCCCAATGGGGTCCCCCGATCGTCGAACGCGATTCGGTAGCAGCGGCTTTTGTGCGCCCAGGTTTGGCCACCCCGCGTCGCCTAGCAAGCAGCGCACCAAAGGTCAATTTTGCGCAGGGCCACTCTTGCGTGTAGCCGATGGTTTCCAGGTTCAGGGTCATCGGGGGTTTTCGGCGGCATTCCAGCCTTAGGATGCGTTCCAGCCGAGCCTTCGAGAATGCTCGCCCCTTCTGACTTCCCCCCCAGGCTCGCCGCCGAATGAGGACCGCCCCTCCTCGCAGTGGAGACAGAGCGGACCGCCCCTGAGGCCTGGTGCGGCAACAGAAACAAGGCCCACGTTTGGCTCACGCGTGGAGCGTGGTGTTAAGTCGGGCCTGTGCCCCTACAGGGGGACTTTCGACGAAAAATAAAAAATACCTCAACAATAGTCAAACAATAGTCCAAAAATAGTCTGGGGACTATTTGTTTGAGTATTTTTGACCTTTTGGGAGCATTTTTGTTGCGGTATTTTTGACTTATCGTCGATAATCCCCCTGTAGGGGGACACGCCCGACTTAAGCGTGGTGCCGTTCTTCGGGAGCGGTGTGAGTCTCCCCCTCTCGCCCTCTGCCCTCGAGATCGACCCTCGGACCTCCCCGGAGGAGTCCCTCCCTGACGCGAAGCTTCGCCGATGCACAAAACGGTCCTCCTCCTCCTCCTTCTCCTCCTCCTCTCCGCCTCCTCCTCCTCCTCCTTCTCCTCCTCCTCTCCGCCTCCTCCTCCTCCTCCTTCTCCTCCTCCTCTCCGCCTCCTCCTCCTCCTCTTCCTCCTCTTCCTCCTCCTCGCCCTCCTCCTACTTTCTCTTCGCATCCCGAATCGCCCTCCGCCCTCAAGACCGGCCCTCGGGGCTTCCCAGGGGCATCCTGCCTTGGCGACGAAATGCCACCCAGATACTAAGTATAGAAGTGCGCCTGCACATGAACATTCGGAGGTCCGCCCGGATTTCTTGGATATCGTCGCCGGACCCCTCCCCTCCCCCCCTTGGCGCGCGGAGCTCGGACCAGCGGAAGTTCTTGCTGCGCCAGTGGTTCGGTTTCTGGGGAGGCTTCGCAGAGACACCACGGCAAGAACCCGCACCGAGCACCTCGGTCGTCCTTCTCCTCCACCGCCCCCCCCTGTTCCTGAAAAGGGAAACTCCTCCCTGTCGCACCGCCAGATTTCCTCCCTGCCACACCGGAGGGGAAGGGTGGGGGCGTTTCGCCCGAGCATTGCAGCAGCAGCTTCATGGGTGGAGGGCCCGTCCTTGTTAAAATGGCGGTTTTTGCGTTGGCGCCGCGCTCTTCCGTTCTGACAGGTTGCAGCAGCCTCACGGATTGTAGGGCGTTTTTTTTTTTTTTTTTTTTTTTTGTGTTAAATCGGTTCTTGTCTCAGCCCCGCTTGCAACATCTTCAAGGATCGAGGGCGGTTTTTTTTTCAAGGCATGTTCCTCGCTTCAGCGCCGCGCACATTCGTCTTAGCAGTTTGCAGCAGTCTCGAGGATGAAGGACGAGCCCTTGTGCATAATGATGGTCTCGCTATATCGCCGCGCACATTGGGTTTTAATGTTCGCAGCAGCTTCACGGACGGAGGGCGGGTCCTATTCAAGGTGTGGTTTGGTATTTGGCGCCGCGCATTTTCGTTTTGAGAATTCCAACAGTTCGAACGATGGCGGGTGGGCCGTTTTTCAAATCGTCGTTCTCTATTTGGCGTCGCGGACATGAATGTTAAAACTTTGTCACCGCCTCAAGAAAAGAGGGCGTGCCGTTGTCAACATGTGGCTCCCGAGCTAGCGCCGCGCTCATTCGTGATTCAGTTTTGCAAGTTATTGCGGGATGGAGGGAGGGTGGTCCCTTTTTTTCAAAATGTGGGTATCCCCTTAGCGTTGCGCACATTCGTCTTCAAAACTTACAACAGTTTCAATGGCTCGCGTGATTGAAGTCCCTCGAAAAGCGATCTGGCACGATTTAGGATTGCCAGGACGCAGCAGTCACGTTGATTCGCGGTGTCGAAGTTCCAGGAATCGTTATCTTGAGTCGTGCTGGACTGTCTGGGCGAAACAGTCAAGATGTTACGCGACGTGTAAGTCCCAGGGGTGTTTTTTTGGCACGATTGGATTCTCAGACGGGTATCTTTCATCGTGGTACTCCCCACAATGACATGCAATACTTGTAAGGACCTATGCAGAAGTATGTTCGACAGAGCTGCAACATCGTTGATGTGCCTTGGGTTTACACTGATCCTCCTCGTCCTCCAGCTTGTCATGTTCCTCCTCCTCCCTCCCCCGCACCCGCCCCAGGCGGAGTCCAAGAGCCGGAAGGTCAGACCAGAGGACCTGTTTGGAGGAGAGCAGGCACCTCCCCCCCGAGGCGGGGGAAGAGGAGGATATGTTCTGATCTCATCGCCTCCGTGGTCCAGCCAAGCAAGTCTCAGCGTGCTGCTTGGACGGGGCAGATATGGAGCAGGCTCCATCCTGGAGGGTACACGCATGTTGGGCGTGGAGACGTATCGCACGTGCGCGAGACCATCTGGCTTGTGCTCGATGAGCTCGTTTTGTTTTCGAATTTCGGTGTGGCGGATCCAGTTGCACCGAATGTCTTTCGCAGGAGGAGGATCGGATTGCGCCAGAATGCACCGCATCGCGCCACGTCGGCGATGTGGGTAGAAGGATTGCGCCGCATCGCCGATGCATCGGCGATGCTGGTCGATGTGGAGTCCGATTTTCTCGACGCCGACGTCGCCGATGCATCGCCGACGTCGATGGCGCATCGGCTATGCATTGGCGATGCGGCGCGATCCTACAACCCATATTTTGAGAGACCCATCCACTTCCGAGGGGCCTCTGGCGGCGGGAGCCGGCGGTGTGTGGGCGCGAGGGAGGCGGTCTTCTAAGGAGGCGAGGAGGGGGCTTGTGAGAAGGCAGGAACTTCTCCAAACAATTATGAGTAGCTATGTATCTAGGTGGAACAATCTATGGTGTTCAATTTATGTGGAGCAATACATGTGGGGAATCACTATGTGGCGTAATTGATATTTACAGACGGGTTGACACATCCGATGCTTTTGCAAGCAAAACACCCACCTACCGGCAACTTGGTTTGCAAAACACATGCGGTGGCGATTGCGATGGTCCATCTCTGCAGCCGCGCCAACCCAAGCACGCGCGCGCAGCGGCCAGCTAGTTTGGCGCGACCGACGCGGCCGCGGTGGCGCTGACCGCTGGGCACATCCCAGCGGGCATTTCAGTGCGAGTCGGCGGTCTGGGAGGGCGCGGTGCCATAGCAACGTCGGCAACGGTAGACACGATGATGATAGTAGCGATGTTGGTGGCGACGTTGACAACGACGACGGCGCGGCCAGTGCGGGTGCCGATGCTGATCACGCAGACGACGATGACGGCGCCCTCTCGTTGGTGATGAAAGTTTTACAAAGAGTTCGACATGCGCGCGCGGCCGACGCGCGAAAATTGCCGCATGGTATTATTTGGAAAGGATCGTGCCTCCTCCCCCAGCTCGCGCGCAAGGGCGTGCGAATGATTTCGGCATGCGGCGCCAGGGGCCCATTTGGCAAACTTCCATGAGAATGCTGAAAATCCCATGTTCGTCTGAAGAGCTGGCGAAAGCGGAAGCGCACGTTTGTTTGCTGGTTTTTTGCGAAACCATTTTTTTCATATTCTTGTTGGACATTCGGTTTTGAACCCGCTACGAAGCCGAAGGTTGTTGACGGATTCCGGCATGCGCGCGCGACGATACGCGCGTGTGCACATCGTTCCGTTTTCTGCAAAGGATTCTCGCGACGGCACGCGCGCAGGGGCGTTCGAACGATTTTGGAATGCGCGCGCGAGCAAGCCCCGTCTGGTAACATGTTCTACAAATCTCAAGCCATATGTTTTTATCTCTTAAGCAATCGCATGGGCGCGCGCGCGGCATGCGCGCGCGCAAACACGCGCGTGTTTATTGCGTCTCTTTGAAGCCAGGGATTTTTGAACACGGGTGATTTATGATAAACGAATGCGTGCACATATATATATATATATATATATATATATATATATATATATGTGTGCTGCAGAAAATGACGGGTGGGGCGAATATCTGCGGGGCTGGGATGGTTTGAGTTCGTATTTCGGATGGACGATGGGGCAGAATCATATGTAAATTGCAATACGACAAAGGGGGCGGATAATCATTGGGCGGAGGGTTACTAGGGTCTATTTTCCAATAGCGGAGAATCGATGTTGTGCGCAAGGTCTGTGGTACAATCGAAGTGGTGACATCAATGTGGGGCCCTCTACGTGGTGCAGTTCTTTTTGCGGACCGTGAAGTTGTCAATCCCACGGCTTGCGCAATCATCCCAACCGCCCACCCGCAAGTCAGTTGGCAAAACCCTTGCGGTGGCGATTGTGATGATTGTTTGGCGCTGATTGGCGCATCGCTGCGACCGCGCCCACGCACGCAGGCCGAACACTCATGCCCAGAGGGCACGCGACAAACTCGGCCAAATTGGCGAATCTGGGGTCCGGGCCCGTGCACGATTCTTGTGGAGTGCTTGAGGGATTCGGCAAAGCAGTTTTTCCTGAACAACTTGGACTTGTCAACCCAATTGCTCGCGCAACCATCCCACCCACACGCCCGCAACTTGGTGTGCAAAACCCATGCGGCGGCAACGGCGATGAGTGCTTGGCGCTGGCTGGCGCATCTCTGCGGCTGTGCTGGCGCGCGCACGCTCGCGCGTTCACTGTCTAACTGGTCTGGCGCGACCGACGCGGCCGCGGTGGCGCTCACCGATGGGGATTCCCCAGTGCGTCTCAAAGGCCGCACTGGCGCGCGGGCGTTCCATTGCAAATCGGTGATTCCCGGCGGGTGCGGTATCATGGCGACGTCGGCAACGGCGGGAAACATGATGATTGTAACGACGATGGTGGCGAGAGTGGAAATGGCGACGGCAAGGCCAATGCCGGCGCCGAGGCTTGTCGCGCCGGTGGCGGTGATGGTGCCCACGTGTCGGTGATGAAGGTGTTGGAGAGATTTCGACTTGCGCGCGCGGCCGATGCGCTGGTTGACAAGGGTCGCGCCCCCCCAAGCAAGCGCATAAGGGCGTTCGAATGTTTCCAACAGTCGCGCGCGAGATGCCCGAGGATTTGAGGAACGTGTTGAGCATTCATGTTTTCTTGAAATGTTAGCAAATAGCGCGCGCGCGGACGTGTTTGGAAAAACAATGTTGCAAAACCGGCGTTTTTTGTTCCATGGTTTTTGCGCACTCGGTTTTGACATCGTCGCACCGTCCAAAGTGTTTGTGTGATTTCGGTATGCGCGCGCGACGACGCGCGCGTTTGGATTTGGTCCTTTTTGTCGTGGGCACACGATTCTGATACATTGGTGTTCTGAAATCGCAAGTGCGCGCGCGTAGTGTCATTTGCAGGGGCGCCCGGCTCAGCTGGGATGGTACGAATTCGTGTTCTTGAAAAAACGATGGCGCTCACTTCGGTATAAATTGCACATCCCCGGGGGGAGCGGATAAAGGCGGGGGGGGTGATCTTAGTTATTACTGGAAAGGAGAATCTTCGTGGTTCAATATAGGTTGTACAATTTGGGCGGCGACGGGGCGACGACGAGGCGGCGACGGCGAGCATGGAACCGCCAGACCGCCACCCAGGCCCAGACGACGGGCGGCGACGAAGCGGCAACGGGGCGGCGAAGGCGAACACGGAACCGCCAGACCGCCACCCAAACACAGATGACGGGCGGCGACGACAGGGGCGACGGAGCTTCGACGACGAGCACGGAACAGCCTGGCCGCCACCCATGTCCAGTTCTACAGAACACATGTGGGGTCCCCTAGGTGCAAACACTGCTTACGGACAGCAATGTTTGCAACCAGTAAGGCTGCGGCCTCTGAGAGACGCCGGTATGTTTCACATCAGCCTGTCTGTTTCCAGTGTTGGCTTACAGACCCGCCGTTTTCTCGGTCCGTGGCCACCTCTCGCCCCAAGAGGGAGGAAACAGGAGGGTGTTTCATAGAGGGTTCTGAAGGGCTCCAAGTGGATCCGAGGCAGTTGGCGGGGGGAAGATGTTGGGAGAGGAAAGGACCTAGAGGGTCATTTCGAGTACGAACATCTGACGAAACAACATCCGTATCCCATCGCTTGAATACCCAAGGGTCCGCTTGCAGCCCAGGATTCGGGGTAATTCTTGCCCAGCCAAATGGCCAGTGTATTTTATACAAATATACGACAATCCACGATCAAGTGGTGTCCGCCGCGCGGAGTTGCGCGACGTGGGAAAAGGAGCCGCGAATTACCGGGGCGTGGGTGCCACAGGAATTGCTGGGTAGGCGAGAGGGGGTAGGAGGAGGCGGCGGAGGGATGACAGCAGGAGGCGAACTTGTGCTCGCAATGCGCTCGAAGAGACACGGATTTGGCAAAATCAGTTCGCAATCCGTTCTCGTTCTGCCATCTGTTTGAGACCGATCCAATCCCGTCCACTCGAGCACTGATTAAGTTCAGGACGGGAATACCTGCATCTCCGGCCCCCGCAACACTGATCCGAGGGTAGATGCTCCTGCTTTTGCATGGGGCCAGGGGCATCAGAATAGGCGCTTCGTGCGCCAGCCCTTCGACGTCGCATCACATCGAGCCTCGACATCAGGCCGCAATGTGTGTCTTTTGTCAAGGGTGACTGCACTAGTCGGGTCCCTCTGACGGAATTGTTTTTATGGGTAGAAGTTCTGGGTTACATATCTTGCGCGTATGGAACTGCTTCTTGTGTTGTTGCTGAGCTACTCTGCCCTTTTTGAGTTCGTGGTCGAGGATGTGGTGCGATTGCTTGGTAGTTTGATTGGCTTGATTGCTTCTTTCAAGAAAACCGTCAGCTCACACGTGTAGAGTTAGGTCGTGCTTCAAATCTATGTTTCAGTGACCGATTTTTTTGGCGTAGAGACCATGTTCCATGGGGGCGTCCAGCACTTAGAGGGCTCTGGGAATGGCAGCTTTCTTACTCGTTTCGAGATTCGCAGCGAGAATTGGTGTTCACGAGAGCGCGGACGGGGGAGACACAAGCAATACATCAAAGACGCCCGCGGGATGCATGTGAGGTCGTTGGGTCAAGGGACGCCAGGAGTTTGTTTGCAAACGGTCCGGAAACCGTACAAGTATAACAAGTAGTGATTTGCACCACGGGTCAACCGGGGGATGCGAAACCGGCAAAAAGTCAGCTGGAGGTCACAAACAAACCAACAACCTAATATGCCAGACATTGGCCGAACACGACGTCGATCGTCGATGCCAGTTTCGAACGAAAACGAAAACCAAACGGTGCCGTAAACCTCAGAACTTGGAACGACGCACACACACTTTAGCCCTCGCCGTTTCCAGGGCCCTCCTAGGTCGAGCAGTAGGATGGCCCGCCGACCTTTGGAGAGGGTAGTTGAAGGCCTGGCAAAACACCATCTCTAAATTCGCATACACACATATATACATATATGTATACATGTATGTATATTATATATATATATATTTATGTACATTGTAGATGCCCGTCCTATTCTTGAACTGCTAAACATGCTTGATGGTGGACGTCGATAAGACATGGCACGTCAGATGGTCCATGTTTGTAGAGGCGTTGGACCGACTATTCAAGCACAACATGGCGCATGGGTGCGAATGTGCTGCGCATGTCAGCCGGAAAGATCCCAGCTGCACGCGATCGCCATCCTGGGATCTTGGAACGGCAGTGGTATTCATGAGAGCGGTTTTATCCGTGATGCGCAATGGGGTGACGTGTGGGGAAATTTCCTGGGCGGCCTTCAACCGATGTGCTTCACACGAGCGCACTCAAAGAGCAGCCGTGTGCCAAATGCAATGCCAGTGGCTATTGACCTTGGACGCCTGGTGCGCCATACCTTGTTTATACCTGTCCCTCTACAGGGGGAATATTCAAAACATAGGTAGTAAAACATAGTCAGGGGAGTATTTTTGAGTATTTTTGGGCATCTTTTGAATCTTTTTGAGAGTCGTTTATTTTCCATCCAAAATCCCCCTGTGCGGGGGCAGGCACGATCTAAATCTTGCTTCCGGTGCTTGCAAAAACCGTGAACACCAGTTCACAAGCAGGGTCACGGGTGGTCGTCTGGAGGGCACTCTGCCCCCCCCCCCCCGTCGTTGCAGGGGTGCGGGGCGCTCTGGTGCCAGAAAACGCCCAGATCCACGCCGAAGGGAGAGGGAGGACGGGGAGGAGGGGGAAGACGAGGAGAAGGAGGACGAGGAGAGGAGGAGGAGGAGGAGGAGGAGGAGGAGGAGGAGGAGGAGGAGGAGGAGGAGGAGGATGAGGAGGAGGAGGAGGAGGAGAAGGAGGACGAGGAGAAGGAGGACGAGGAAAAGGAGGACGAGGCTGAGAGCAGACGTCATTCCCTAACCCCCCCTGCTCCCTCGTGGCCCCCGTCCCCTGCAGCGCTCTGCTGGCAGGCCGTGCAGCAGAAGGCCGATATCAAGTTGACCGACGATAAGGCTCTGCCCCCCCCTTTCCCCCACACTCCGCGGTCGTCGTCGTTTTCCCCCTCCTGTGGGCAGACAGGACGAGGAGTGAGGAGGACGAGGAGGAGGAGGACGGCGACGAGCACGATGAGGACGAGGTCGCGAAGGACTGGTGACAGGGGAGGAAGACATGGTACTCGTGCTGCTGCCTTTCCCTCGCTTTCCCCTTTCTGGGGCCTCCCGGCAGGCCCGCGTCGCCACCGCTGGATTCGCCTCGACATCCTGGTCGGAACGCACCCTGGGAGAGGTCCGGGGAGCACAGTGGAGGCCCATGCCAAGAAACACCCTGCATGCCTCTAGGGTGCCCTGGGTTTCTTGGGTTTCGATGGTTTTGCTGTGGAAGGCGTGACGTTCCCACACCAGAAGTCAATGGTCGTCCTGGGGTCTCAGGGTTGGGTTTCTGGTGGACGGTTTCTCGTGGACTGGCCTCCACTGTAGCGGTGTCGGTACCTTCTGTTTTCCCTGCAGGTGGGGTGGCAGTCTCGGCCTGGCCGCACCACGGCCATTGGCCCCCCTCGCACAGGAGGAGTAAGAATCCCTCTTCCTCCTCCTCCTCCTCCTCCTCCTATTCCTCCACCTCCTCCTCCTATTCCTCCACCTCCTTCTCCCCCTCCTCCTCCTCCTCCTTCGCCTCCTCCTCCCCCCCCTCCTCCTCCTCCTCCTCCTCCTCCTCCTCCTTTTGTTTCTCTTCCTCCTCCTCCTCCTCCTCCTCCGCCTCCTTCTCCTCCTCCCACCCCCTTCCTCCTCCTGCTCCTCCTCGTCCTCCTCCTCCTCCTCAGAGCGAAGCCTGACTTGGGAGCAGTTGCGCATCCTATTCCGCTGTATTCGCCAAGGCATTGGAGGGACGCGTGGCGCTTCCCGCAATCTCCTTACGGGAGGGCAGATGGCAATGGCCTCGGACAACATAAGCGGACGTGTGCCAGTTGCCAAGCGCAACCGACACGAGACGCCTGGAGATGAACGGGGCGTGAATGTATTCGCAGTGCGACCTACACCATTCTCCTGGAGCGCGCGAGCTGCTGAGCTGACCTCCTGCGCCTGAGGTGGCCCCCCCCCCCATCGGCGAAGGGCCCCGAGGCTCTTCAATCCTCGGAGGCGCTCTTAAATCCTCAGAGGCGCTAGCAGCCCCTGATGTACTGTTTACGCTTCGCGTATCCCCACCAGTTGTCTAGGGCGTTTGGAACCTGGCGCCCCACCGGCGACTCGCTCCACGGGCCTCGCGCTTGCCCCTTTTCAGAACGACGGACTCGGTTGCTCAGGTACACGTCTGTTATTGTGTGGTCCGTGCCTCATGGCAGGCATCGAATTCCTCGACATTTTGTCCTGTGCATGTGCTCGAGCTCCCAGGATCCCCGCCGCCGTCAGTCCCCTTTCAGCTTCGCGGCTGCTTGTGAGTGGGCCGGCTGGCTAGTGCGCCTTCTGTAGCTAATTAGACTTGCCCGTTGCCCGGACTCCCTGCCCGCCGCCTGCCTCTTCGCTTGCGGCCGCGACCGAAAAAGTATCCCCACCAGCTTGTTGCTTTGTTTCTTGACGGCGCGCAGTTGCTCTGTATCGCTCGCAAGCAAAACTTGGGTCGGGCCCAACCCAGCTAAAAGTGGCGTCACCTTGGTGTTATAGATATCATATAGGCGGCCACGGGATGGGCACCAAATCGTCACCAGATTGAGGGCCGTGGTGACATCGCCAGGCTGGTGCGAAGAGGCCCAAATACAAATTGTGCAAAACGTATCCGCACCAGCCTATCCAGAAACGAAACCTACGCGAGTTGCGTTCACTTGACCGGCTGAGCGTAGGTAGAACACAGAGACGGGGCAGCCGCCAAACCGAACACCGGGATGAGCCTGAGCAGGACCAGGAGTCACCACACACGCCTTCGCGGAGCTTTCGTTGTGGGAGCCTTCTGTTTGCTCATTTGGGCCCTCTTGGGGCCACCTGGGAGGCCTTTGGGACTCACTCGGCGCCCTCTCGAGGCCCATGTTGGAGCCCTGCGGGCCCTCATGAGGCCATCTCGGATAGGAGGCCATAGAAGAAATAGCGGGGGACATCCAATTACGCCCCCCCCCGTCGGAAGCCTACCAGTCGTTTCAACAAGCCCTCTTGGGGCACTTCTGGGGCCCTCGTGGGCCCCTCTTGGAGTTCGGTGTGGCCATCTTGGGGCCACCCTGAGGCCTCCATCGCCGATCGGATGCGAAAACGCGAGAAGACACATCAATGATCTTCCAGTGGTTTGGAAAGGTGTTGGCCTCCCGCGGGGGGGGGGGGGTCCTCTGGGAGTTTCCGTGGTCACTTCGAGCCGTGGTGGGGCGGTCTTGCAGCCTCTCGGAGGCAACTGAGAGGCTATCCAGAGCAATATCGGGCTACAGTAAGCCACCTTGAGCCACATGGGACCATCCAGCGATCCGCGGGGGGATGCTTCCAGGCTTGGGGAGAGGGGGCCAGAAGGGGAAGACGGAGGCTGGAATAACTAAAACCACCTACGCTCAAAGAGGTGGGATTACTCTTTGCTAGGTCGTGCGCCATCGATCGGCAAGGACGCTCGTTTCTTCGAGCAGGCAAAAGGTTGCGCTGGAATTTGAACGGGCAGGGAGCTCAGCACTTCAGCTTCGGTGGCTGCCGTTGCTGCCGCCGCTGCCTCCCGTCCACATGCCGCCATCTCTCGCCCGCGTCTCACCGTGGCTTCGACCACTTGCCACAGCGCCGACAGGAATAACGAGAAGAGGAAGGAGGGAAAAGGAGGAAGATGAGAAGGAGGAGGAGGAGGAGGAGGAGGAGGAGGAGGAGGAGGAGGAGGGGAGGAGGAGGAGGAGGAGAGGAGGGAGGAGGAGAGGGGGCGAAGGAGGAGGAAGGGGAGAGAGGGGAGGAGGAGAGGAGGAGGAGGGCGAAGGAGGAGGAGGAGGAGAGGAGGGAGGAGGAGGGAGGAGAGAGGGAGGAGGAGGAGGAGGCGAAGGAGGAGGAGGAGGAGGAGGAGGAGGGGGAGGAGGGAGGAGGAGGAGCAGGAGCAGGAGGAGGAGGAGGAGGAGGAGGAGGGGGGAAGGAGGGGAGGAGGAGCGGAGGAGGCGGAGGAGGAGGAGGAGGCGGAGGAGGACGCAGGCAGGGGCGGGGGGCCGTCGCGCCTCGAGGCCCCGCGGCGCGCCCGTGGGGCGCCCGCGGCCTCCGCAGACTTCGGGCGCCCCGTGCAGATCAGCGCGCGGCCGTTTCTGCTTTTGACGGTTTAGTTTTGTTGTTGGTGGTGGTGGTTGTGGTATTGTTGGTGGTGTTGTTGTTGTTGCTGCTGCTGCTGCTGCTGTTGTTGTTGTTGTTGTTGTTGTTGTTGCTGTGGTTGTTGTTGTTGTTGTTGTTGTTGTTGTTGCTGTCGTTGTTGTTGTTGTTGTTGTTGTTGCTGCTGCTGTTGCTGCTGTTGTTGATGTTGTTGGTATTGTTGTTGTTGTTGTTGTTGTTGTTGTTGTTGTTGTTGTTGTTGTTGTTGTTGTTGTTGTTGTCGATGTCGTTGCTGGTGGTGTTGTTGGTATTGTTTTTGCTGTTACTGGTATTGCTGTTTTTGTTGGTGTTTGTGCTGTTGTTGTTGTTGTTGTTGTTGTTGTTGTTGTTGTTGTTGTTGTTGAGCTCTCATTCTTGAAGAAAAATTATTGTTGATCCCCCCCACCGGTGCAGACTGTTTTTTCTCAATCAAAGTGTGCCCCTCGACGTTCGCACCCTGTTTTTTGGAAGGGAAAGTCTTCCTGCTCAAACTGGGCCCCTGGCCCGCGGGTTACAACAACAACGGCTCCCGCTTGAGACTTCCTTACACTTTAGGCAGGACCCCCGCTCCCGCCCGAGACTTCCTTGCATTTTATTCAGGAATCGCGCTCTCGCTTGGGACATCCTTACAATTTATTCAGGAATCGCTCTCCTGGAGCTCTGGAGTCGCGCTCTCGCTGGAGACTTGCTTGCAACTTACTGAAGAATAGCCTTGCGTTGGAACTTCCTGCAATTTGCCCAAGCGCTGCGCTCCCGACACCCAGGCACCCAGGAGTCGCGCCCGTTGTGGCCCCATGTGCATGCCCTTCGTGGCCCCGCTGTCGCCATTTGTGTCCCCCTCATTGTCCTATGTGGCCCAGTTGCTACCCTCAGTGGCCCCGTAGTTGCCTTCTGTGGCCCCGCATTATCTGCACTTCGTGGCCCCCGCTCGTTCACACTCTTCGTGGCCCATACGCATTCCCTTCGTGTCCCCGCTGTCGCCCTTCGTGGCCTACTTCGTGCCCTTCGTGGCCCTGCTGTCGTTCTCTCTCGCTCTCGCTTTCGCTCGTCGTCGCCGTCGTCTTCGACGTCGTCGTCGTCGTCGTCGTCGTCGTCGTCGTCGTCGTCGTGGTCGGTCCCCATGTCCGTCCCTCTTGGGGTCGGGTCGACGGTCCGCGGCCGCCCCGCCGATCAGCGCTGCCGCTGGCCAGGCCGACGGTCCGCGGCCGCCCCGCCGCTTGCCGGGGCCTGGCCTGCAGGGAAGAAAGGTATACCCCCCAAAATGGGTTCGATCGAAGACGAAGAGGGCGGGCATCGAGGGTTTGGGAAATACGCGTTATTGGACACTCGAGCATATAAGGGCGAACAGTCTTAAAATGATTGTTGTTGTTGTTGTTGGTGGTGGTGGTGGTGTTGTTGATGTTGTTGGTGGTGGGTGCTGTTGCTGCTGTTACTGTTTTGGCACCTTACCTACTAGTCACTTGTCGAGGCTGGACACCCCGAATGCGCCGTCGCGCTCCCGGCTGCATTTCCCCTGAATATTTGGCTTACGCTACCGCGTTTGGGGGTTCCGCCAGAGCCGGCCCCCAACAACCGCAACGCTTAGGCTCGAGATTTCATCATCCTTTCTCGCTCAGGGCTGGGGCTCTTGCTCGCCCCCCAAAGCCGCCTTTACAACAGCATCGGCGCTCCCGCTCGATACTCCCATGCTCTTTACCCTCAGGACCGGCGTTCCCGCCTGAGGACCCCCTACAAAC